CAATTTGTACATATGATTAGATAAATTTGCAAACTTGGGCCCGGCGCCCCTCACATTGAAGTATGGGGGCCAAAGGGCCCCTCAACGATCCCCTTTGGGGGCCCGACGGGCCCCCTGGTCTCGGGCATTGGGGGCCCGTTGGGCCCCCAAGCCTCTCGACTATTGGGGGACGATATTGGCCATTGGGGGCAATAATGGCTGGTGGCGGGCCCCCAGTGGAAACACTGATACAAGCATAAAACTAACTATTATTTTTTCCCGACCGACCGACCCACCCAAAAGGGGGGTGGACCGGAAACCGGGAGTTAACTTCGACCCGCCTTAGAACAGTGACAGTGACGCTGACAGAGGGGGGACAAGGAGAATGATTCTTTTAGCAACCCTGAGCCCGGGGGCTGTTGGAAGGTGCCTTTTGTGACTTGGAGTCAACTTTACCGGGGTCTGGGGGATCGCGTGTGTCAAAGTTCTCGGGTTGGAAAAACCTTCATCTATCTAACACACGGTAAGATGCATTGCCCCAGTAGATCCTCTCCGACTTCATATTGAAGTGCAGCTAAGACAAACCCGAAGCCTGACCCAAAACCATAAGGGCCGACGAGGAGCCAAGCACCGTTCGATGATAGGCATCCCTACATCTGATGGTTACAAACCTGCCATCTGCACACGTGGATCTCTGGTCGAGCTGAAAGCGTCAGGAAAGGCACCTTCCAACAGCCCCCGGGCTCAGGGTTCCGAAAAGAACCATTCTCCTTGTCCACCCTCTGACAGAACCCGTGGAAGGAGAACGTGGACTACAGTTTGCAGTCCCGGACCCCACACCGATCGGTACTCGGTGCGCGCGCGGCCGACGTTGCGTGACGTCATTTATTGCCGCACTTGAAACCTCGGAAACCCTAGAATACAGTGCCGCCCGCGAATGCCCGCGAGCTGCATGAAAGTGTGCATGGTGCAGCTGTTCTTCTGGCTGCACACTGCGCACTGCACTGTTGCACAGCTGCAAAGTCCCTGCAAAGCTGCAATTTGCAACTCAGAAAGCTTGCATCAGGTTCACAATGGTTCATTCGTAATGAAAGACGCAATCAGTGGAGCTGGCTCATGCGCCACTACTACTGATTGTACAATGGCAACCTGCGATTTCTGAGAATGCATCTGCGCATGGAGAGGCAGGCGGCTGTTCAATGGGGTTTTGCAGGCGGAGCTTCTCTGAGCTCATTTGTCGGATGAGATTAGCAGTTGCTGGAATATTGAACTGCTCATTGCTGGATACAGAACCGAAACGGACTTCATGTTGGCCTGCCAATGCCAGCCTGGAGGCCTGATCATGAGGGAATCATGAGAAGATGAGAACAACGTCGGTGATCAGCTCTCGAGTCTAGAACCTGATGCAGATACCAGAAGTTACGAAGGGAACGAATCAAGTTGCAGCTCAATTGTACTACTGAAGCTCAAATGGAACAATCTGAAGCTCTTGATCGGTCTTCTTCTGATGACGAATTCGCTGAAAGGGCTCAGAACTATGTGGACCGGGTCAAGCTTTGGGGTGAACATGAAAGGGCAGCGATGGCTGAACGGTTGGAAAGGCACGAGCAGAACGAACCTGTGGTATCTTCGGCAGAGCTCCTTCCAAGAAATTCAAGCGCTCCTCTCTTTGCGGAGGGTCAGCTGCTGCTCCTACAAGGGCTCAGATCGAAGGGTTCGTCAAGAAAAGAAGCGATTCGAACAGGTGACATCGAGAAGTTGAGGCAAATTTGGGAAGTTCTTGGCCGTTGGAGAATTGAGGAGCTCAACGGATCGGGTTGCCATGAGAAAATGGTCCACGAGCGAGCTGCAGAAACGCCTTCAACGTCTCAAAGTGTCGATCAAAACGGGAAAGCGCAATCGGTGCATCAAGATGGGAGGGCTAAGGTCGAAGAGTGCGACAGCAGAGTCGGCAGCATAAAATGCTCCCAATTAGTCCACTCTAATTCGGAGACGGAGGAAGAATCCGACGAAGAGGACGAGGACGAACCTGCAGATTGTGCTCGGGTTGAGGGGAGGTTGCGGCGGCCAACCAACGAGCCCGCCTCCAGTCAAAGACATATCGAACCCCCAGCTCAAGTGCTTAAACCGCTGATGTCATATCTGTTGCATCATCAGCGGACCTATCCAAACTTAGCTGCTATAGCTTCTAATGTCTGCCGGGACTGGAGGGCAGTGTATGAAGATGCATGCCAGGAGCTCCTCTTCGAAGACACCGACCTCCCGGCAGAAGGAGAGGACAATGAGGCATTCACCTCTGGCCGCCATGGCACGCCCTTCTCCCTCTATTGTCGGCAAGATTGCTCATGTCTGGTTTTGGCTGTTTCTCACGGCCAGGCACACCAGATCCACGCAGCTCACGAGCAAGCCCTTCAGCTGCAAAAACGGGAGGGTCCTTCGAAGGCCGAGGTCTGGCAACGAAAAGGGAACCGGAGAGTTGCCCCAAATGAACGCATCTCGTGCTCATCACCAGCGTTCGAGGACTTCGCAAAGTCCTTTGCTGCTACACACATGAAAGTAGGAGAAAAGATGCACGTACAACGGCCAGTCAAGCAGGAACCCGAGCGGGACGAAGAGCCTGACGTCGAGAGGACTGACGACGGGCCTGGGCTGTTGCTTTGTGTGCATGGAGGCAAGTTCCGTCTACTGGTTTTCCTAAGGTCGGCAACTGCCTCAACAGTGGCTTTGAGGTGCACATGCTGGCAAATGATATTCTCAACAGTCCAAAGATCGAGAAGTAAGTGATTCAAAGCTGCCTCAGCTAAATTGCTTGTGCATTGCATCCTGCAGCCGCTCGCGTCCTCCACGTCGGCACCAACTTTTTTTACAAGAAGAGCGCCCGGAGCGGAACCTCCAGACTAGAAGACTGGGGGATTAAAGTGGTACCGAGCTTCGAAGAGCTGAGAGACTGTTGCCGAGGGGCAAATAGAAAGTGTCGCAAGAAGCTCGATGTGACTGCTTTGAAGGGAGAAACGTGCTGCAAACGGAAAACGTCAAGTCAAAGCGGGGTGCTTGCGGATTCTCAAAGCTGCTCGAGGATTCCCCCGGCCTCCTTCGGGACTGGAATGAACAGTATCATGTCGAGCACGCCCACGGCCACAAAACGTCGCAGGTTCAGCTGGGAATCTTATCGGAGATGCGCAGCCGAGGCATGTGCCAAGCTTCAATGAAACTCGTCCTCCAAACTTCATTGAGTGGGAGACGGCTGCAAGCGGTCCGCGAAAAGACGCGTGCCGCTGGAAACAGCCATCGTACTTTCGCAACGTAAGATTTTCATTGCTCCCAATCCGATTCTAGTCATAGCTGATCTGATTGCACACAAAACACATAGACATGCCTTACATAGGTTGCGTGCATGCATGTGTAGGCCTGTGTTTTCTCACATATGCTGAATGGTAGCGGCACACTTTCATCATTTACAAAAAGGACATCCCATAAGTATACATAGGACAACCTTAATATGCAACGCCCTGAAATCTTTGAGAAGTCAATTGTTGCTTTGCAAAATGGCGCACGGCCACAAGGGACGCGCGCCGAAGAACAAGATTTCTCCCGAGACGAATGCACGTATCGTGCAATACGTCTGCGAAAACACACGAGCCTGTCCGGAAAAGAAGCGTCTACTCATTATCCAACAGGGATCCACCGGAAAGAAAGTAAGAAAGTAAGTAACATCTGACTCGAGCCATACTCCAACTTTATACTTTTCTTTTTAAGCCTGCCCTACTTCCATTCGAAGTTGCTGCTTGCAAGCGCCCCAAAGCGTCGAATCAATCGTCTTCGGTCTGCATGTGAATTCCAAAACCACGTGTTAGTCTTTCGACGATCGTCGTTTCTCGAGCAGGCGCTCCATCGCCGGATGGTTGCGGAACATCCCGAGCTGACCGTGGACTATCGAACGTTTAAGAGCATCATCAAAAGCAATCTTGATTACAGGTGAGGATTAAATTTGTGCGCAACGTGGTCCCTCCAACGAGCTGGATTTATGTATCAGTCCGATTGATTGAATCTCGAGACAATAACCAGTACAGTAGTCAATCGCAGGTTTGTTTTGTTGACTTGCAGGATCGTCAGGAGCCGAAAGGACCACAACTTTTGCCCACACTGTCTCGACTTTGAGACAACGTTGACCGCAGTTGAGCGGGAGCTGAGAAGGTAAGAAGCACTCCCCTCGACGGCGACAGCTCTAGCTCGGATCAGAAATCGGAAAAGAATGACTGCATGCTCGAATGGGACATCCGATGACTACGGCAAGCTGCTGACGTCATCAGCAACAATCATAACGTCATTACATTTCCGCTTTTGATAGCGTTGGTGCGAAGAGCAAACAAGTCGGAACTGCCCCGCCGCATTGGATGACGCAGCGTTTGAGGACTCTCCAAAGCGAGCAAAAACGCTTGGAACAACAATACGGGAAGCACGAAATGTGGTGGCGCTCGAGGCGACTATTCGCTAGAAGTGAGCTCACAAGTGACCAGCTTTGAAAAACTTTCGTCCTCCGGCATGTGTGTTCGTCCAAAGCCGCGGGTGCTCTGAGGTTTTACTAAGAAAGGGAGGGCACACAAGCAGACTGGATTCATACCTTCTTGTGTCTCCATGCAGCGCTAGAGGAAGTGGCGAAAGATCAGCTCCGTGCGCTTGGACAGACGTCGACGTCACACCCGTTCGCCAGCAGCGCCAGCAGTATGGTCTGCCAGGAGGATAAAAAAGGACTACTCAATCTGCCCATCTTCCAACGGGATCCAACAAGTGCACCTCTAGAAAAGACTGTGATCGAGCCACACGGGATCATAGACTGTCGGTCTCTGGAAGCTTGGTGAGTGTGTCGCGCTGCGCCTCTGCGTTTCTTCCAAAAGCTGCATTAATAATGAAACTACTTGCTATGTAAGCAGATTGCTTATTAAGCGGCGTTCTCGGTTTCAAAAGAGCGTTCAAATTCAATTTCTGCAATCGGCGCACAAATACTCTGCAGGGAAATCCTTATAAACAAAGGCCAGAACGTTGGGGGCGAAGCGTTCGTCGCAATCAACGTGCTACTGGCCTGGGCGCTGTCCAATTTGAATGGCGAAAAGGTGTTTGTCAACCTGCTCGACAACGCCTCGGACCTGCACAACCGGTTCCGCTTCTGCTTACAGCAATTCCTTGTGGATCTGGGTGGGTCCCGCATTATTGGACGGCATTCAAAAACATCTCAGAACCGGCAGCTAAGAAAGTATTGAAGAAGGTCTTGTCAAGCATCCTTTGCGATTGCATGAAAGCGTGCAGAACGTTCGGATGGCAGGCGTTTGGCGTCCAGCAGAAGCATACACAAGTAGATCGTGAGTAAAAGTTATCATGCAGGTGTTGTCGAGCGAGCGGCGGTCGTTTACCTGCCCGCACACCACGCGAAGCACTTCATGGACGCCGGTAAGTTGTCCGACCCGTTCTTTTCAAGGACTGCTTGAAACTTCCTCGTCCGCTAAACATACGAAGCATTCCAAACTGCAGAGGCAATAGAATGAATGTGAGGCTTGTTCAAGACGGTCCAATTCAACATAACGCCGGCTTCGTCTCGGTCCAACCAACATTCACCATCCTGTACAGTACATGGCTACCTGGAGATAGCTTCAAGGACGACGGACATCTTTTCGCGTGACAACCTCGCCGCCTTGTGCTCAAGCCTTCCCCGGGTCCACGGCACATGCGCAAACCCCGAGCTCTTCGAGAACCTCAACGACTTTTTCAGGAACCACTACAACTCGGCCAGCATGCCAAACATCAAAGCGCACGCCCTTGTAGTCGCCTCGAAGGAGCTTAACGGGGTTGTCCTGCTCAAAGAGAATCCGGAGGACAACGCATGGAAGAGTTGGCAGATGCGGCCGATGAATGCGAGTTCCGGACTCAAACGTGAAGACCTGGACTCGATGAAGACGGTTGGCCAGCAGACGCCGTTGAGCGCAGTCGTGTCTACTCTCGAGAAGTTGGGTCCGAACTGCGAAAAGATGCGGCACGAAAGCGGGTTCTCCGGGATGCAGGTCACGCTTCCCGAGCGCCTGGACCTCACCTCTTTCGAAGCGCGCTCCCCGGGGTCCATTCTCCGCCCAGCAGTGCGAACCGGATGGAGGCCTGGGAGGTTGCAGCCTTTCATAGGTGCCCCCGCGAGCGCGTTGAAACGGTCCCTGCGGAGAATGCAGAAACCCTGTTGCTCCAGCCGCAAGAGAGTCTGAGGTTCTCTTCTGCTCGCTTTCACGGCCTATTGGAGCTCCGCAACGATGCGTCCGCCAGCAAATCGCTGAAGTCGGTGTTCGAAAGCGTGTTGGAGATCCCAAAATTCAAAGTCGCAGTTGTTGCGAGCGGACAAGAAGCGTTCAGCCCGGAGGCGTTCATCAAGGAAAGCCGCTCTCCGTTTGCAGTTTTCGCTTGCCAGATTCTTGACGTGAATCAGAGCCTGCTCGAGGGGCACACGGTTATTCCCCTCCAAAAGCGAGCAGCAAAAGAGGCGCCGGCCTTAAGCCCAACTCGCCAGCAAACAAAGGAACTTGCTCACATGAAAGTCGTGGGTCTGTTCTCACCGGACGTCGACGAGCTCCGGGAGTGGGCGGCCGCATGGGGCTGCCGAGAGGAAGACGTTCTGGACTGGTTCCTGGGCCGTCGAGGGAAGGCGGTCGACGAAGAGGGCCCCCCGCCCAAGAAGGCCAGGATGCCAAAGAAGAGTGCGCTTGCAGCGGCGGCGCCTGCGGTCAAGAGGGAGAGGAGGCTGGAACATGAGCAAAACGGAGTGGAAAGGGCAGGGGAAGGGAGCGGAGGAGGCGACGAAGAGGACAAAGAGGAAGCGAGGCAAGGAGCGGAACGGAGCGGAACGGCGGACGGAACGGAACGGAACGGAACGGAATGGCGCGGTGATTGGGCCGCAAGCGAGCGGTCTAGGGCACATCGCGGAGATGGACGTGCAACAGAAGGGAGCGCCCGGGAGTGAAAGAGAAAACGGAGCAGGATTGGGAGGCGAAGCAGAAGAAAGGTTGAGAAAAGGAACAGAACCGAGGGGAGAATGGGAAGGCGGGGACAGCGCCGTAAAGATTGAGCAGATTCGTGAGACTAGAGAGGAACCCAAAGACAAGACGGAGGGGCTGGCGCCGCAGTCAGGGTTGAGGGCGGGACAGGGAAAGGTCCCAAAACCGCTCTGCGCAAACACCTCTCCGCAGGCGTCAAAAACGGAGAGAAAGCGGCCGGCGGCAGATGCAAAGACGGCTGCCGCGACCAAGCGGATGCGAGCCCAAGCTGCTGCATACAAGGCGAGCATGCAGGCGGACTCGAGCATCCTGGACCCGACCTGGTTCTCCGACCAGCAGCGATTGTCGGGTGACCAGTTGTCCAACGTTTTCTCGACTCTGTACATAAACCCCCCGGCAGACCTAGCGCCCATTCCCACGTTCACAAACGAGCATCTCGCTATGAAGCTGATTGAAATCTCAAACGGAAGCAGAGCGTGGCCCTCGAAAATCGTTCAGAAAGTGAAGGAGATGAACGGTTGTGCAGTCTTTGTGGTCGGGGACTGCTCTCATTGGAGGTCGGTTTTTCTAGATGGGCGAAGCAAAACCGTCTTCCTGTTTGACCCCTACTTCGAGAAGGCGTTTGGAGGCGGCGGCCTCGAAGAGGCTCTAAACAGAGCATTCAGCCAGAGCGAAGGCTGGGGACATGACCGGATCAAGCTACGGTTGCAATCCAACGACTTCCAATGCGGTGTGTCGGCAGCCTTTTTCCAGGAGCAGGTCCTCCAATTCGTTTGGAGAGGGGAGGCGGAGGGCTACGTTCAAAGGTTCACTGAGTTCTTCCTGCGGGAGGTGCAGGCCGAAGGGCTCCGGCCACTTCCTTACGGCAAGGCGCCTTCTAAAAACCAGAGCCTGCCAAACAAAGAATTCATCCAGAAGAAAAGGACAGCCCTAAGAAGTCTCCTGGAGAACCGCAAGGAGTTTCTACCCCTACAGCCAGGCGGCGCACAGCCGCGCCCGCAACCCGTAGCAGAAAGACCCGAAAGCTCCGCCCCGGCTGCGCCTCCAACTGCCTCGCAGCCCTTTCCTCGAACAAGTTTGAAGAGCAGCGAACAAAAGGGGAAACTTCCTAAGAGCGCTTACCAGGAGCCTGCTCATCCTCGGGATAGTGCCCTCCCCACAACCGAATGCAAACAACAGGGGACTCTTCCAGAACTAGGTGGGGCACAATCCGGATTTGACGAGGGGTCTCCTCCGGCGCCAGGTCCAAGTCACGCGACACCTGCGACAGCGAAAGGGAGCTGCAAGGGATCAAAGGAGGACAACAAGGTACTATATGAGACTTGGCTTCCGTTTTTCATTCCTGCCTGTAGGTGCCAACCCTAGGGCCGTCGATCTCAGCAAATGCTCGTTCTACACCACCGGAGTGTATCAGATCCCTGAACCCTCGATCTCAGCAAATGCTTGAACTACACCACCACAGTGTTCAGATATTTGACCCCTCCAGAACCTGATTGTTAAGACGAATTGCAGGGTGCAAACGTCTAGACCCACTTGTTGATGCAGTTTGGCAAACCAAAGAAGGCTACCAACGCTGAGTTGAACGTCAAAGGCGCAAAGAACGCCTTCAACTATTTTCAACAGCTTCTGAAAGAAGTAAGGACTGAGCAGCATGTCTTTGAGTTTGAAACGGAGCAACTGAACGATGCTCTGTGTTACTGCCGCAGTTCGCTGCTTCGTTCAAGTTGATCATCAATCTTGTACAATCAGACAATCAATTCAAATTTTCGCTAAATCCAGTATCACCCCTGCAATGCAGACTGCGGAAAGGATGTTATTAGCCGACATTGCCACAGATCTCCCCATCGGACAAGCAGAGAGGGCAGCCCTGCTGGATGCATCGACCGCCACTACCAAACCCAACACCGCTGTGTGCTCTGTAGCTTGGCGTCATGCTCCCGCAGAGATAAAACAGAAATGCACAGACCTTGCGCTAGTTGACCGAGAGCGGGCTCAGAAAGACCGGGCAAGTGCACTCGCTCTGATCAGTGGCGCGCAGGACATTGAACCAGAGACGTAACCCCGCTGACTTGGCAGGGACTGTTGCTTTGGCTGATGACCTCACCTTCATGTGATGCCATTGTCTTGCACATCCTGTAGCTGACGCCAGAATGCATCCGTTCCGGGACCTCGACAGAACCCCTCATTGAATGCATGTTGAAGGATCACAATGAAGTTGCTGGAATTGCATCGTGCCTTGCATTTCTACATGCAAGCTGCGGAAAGAGCTGTAGGCATTCTCGACAAGCCTATGCTGTGATGTTCTTGGTCAGGAGCTGCGCTTTACTACCAACTGCCAGCTGTCCCCTACAGCGTTTGAAAGCGAGCTGGTCATATTTCCTTTCTAAGCAGAGCCCGCTGATAGCCGCAGCGCCGCCGCCTGCAACTGCCTCAGCCTGCCCACCCGTGCCTTCCTAGAACGTTCATACATCCGTCCTTTCAACTGAAACTTCTCCCTGTACAGAAATGAAGCATCTTCCTCGATGGCAATGTGGATAACTGGGCTCCATGCTGAGCCCAAAGCAGCTTCAGAAGAGCCGCCAAAGTGTAATGGCGGCTCTGCAGTGTCCTGGCTCCTTCCCTATGCAGCTTCTCTGGCTTGCAAAGTTGCAGCTGTAGCTGGCAAAGGAGTGCGCACTGCGGAACGCGGCCGCATCGATGAGTCACAGGCGGTGCCGCGCGCGCACCAAGTACCGATCGGTGTGGGGTCCGGGACTGCAAACTGTAGTCCACGTTCTCCTTCCACGGGTTCTGACAGTGACATTGACAGTGACAGTGACAGTGACCGGGGCTCTCAGGTGAGCTTAGGGTTCTGTTGCAAACCTGTAACGGTTTGTGGCAATCGACTAGCGTTGTGTTAGGGTTAAGTAATTTCCCAGTGACATTAGGGTTACTCACTGACAGTGACAACCGGGCAGAGTACTTTTGGTTTAGTGTATGTAGCCACTTCCTCTGACCCGGTGCCCATCTGTACCGGAGGCCGTACCGCAAACTGTACGGTAAATCTGACAACTCTGATCCGGAGTTCTGATCAAAGGACCTGGAGAGGGTTCACATTGGACTTTCGATCAACTTTTGCTTTGTTTTGAGATGTACCCAGATGACGTGTGGTGACGTTGTAGCAGCGAGAACTGAAGTTGGGTTCACATTGGGAAAACCGCTGTCGAATGCATCATCAGTTCCGGCGGAGACCACGTGCGATCACGTGGATGTACAGAATGGTACATAACCAACTTACAGCCTTTCGGGTCCGCCGGATCTGAGCCCTCAGATTCGCAAAGCGACCCAAAAGATGCATCCTGAGCCGTTCATTCTTTTAGAATTTCATTTTTCGATTTACCGGGCCGAAAAAGGAAAGATGGAACTTCGGACACCCTGCGGACAGGAAGAAGATGACCAGGATGACTTGCTTCAGAGAGCAACATTTGGGAGCTATTTTGTG